TAGCTGCACTGTGCGCACCGAAAGAGGTTTACGACAATGACAACCACCTCAGTCTTATCAGATACAATTGTAGTGTAAGCAGTAAAAGCGATGATCAAAGGGGAGGGGCACTTTGACTTCTCTTGGCTGAAGGATGACGACAGTTCGATGCATTTGCTCTCAGGCAATACACTCCTCCAATGCATTTGTTCTTGCGTGAATCATGACAACAGAAGCTGGAATTTACAGTCGTCATACTAAATGCTCAGCCACATGCATCTGCCCTCATCTGTAAAATGAGGGTTGTGAAGACTTCTTTGCATGGAATTCTTAGACAGCAAGCCCACCATATTCCTCTTCGGCTTGGTGGAGCAAATCTTGAAACCAAGGATGCTGGAGACACGTTATGGGGACGACGAACCGCTTCTGCGCGCCTCGCCTACGTATACGGCGAAGTGGCCCTTGGGGACATCAACAAGCGTAGACTTGTGACTGGGTTCTGAGTGCCTCAGCATCTGCTTCCAGTGAGTGATCCTTGGAAATCTTTTCCCCATTTCTGTGGGTCGTCTTTGACGCTGTAGCAAGTGCAAGTAAACTGTTGCGTACGTTCATATATAGGAGGAGGAGGAGGAGGAGTAGGAAATGACCAGCAGATATGGGTTTCATGTGCTCTTGCTAGATTTGTGCCCACGCATCATGTTGTGAAGTTGTGATCTCCCTCGAGCCACATGAGCTATTCGAGAACAAGTTGAGCACATCATGGATCGCATGTGTTTGGATGACGCCCCTCGTCCTTCGCCAGTTGCCTGAAACCGAGGGCCGTGGCTCGTTGATTTCCTTGGAGATAGCAGTCCTGTCTTCTCCTCACATGCTTCCATGAACAGACTTGTTTGGACATATCTCATTCATGCATTGAACTGCAGAAGATGATACATCGGCATGATGAGAATGCAACTTACCTGTATCATGATTTATCATCCGTCACATTATATACTTGCAACAGTAGACCAGTGGTTGATTTTTAGAAACCTGCTTTGGGAACTCTCGTCCCGGAAATGGGTGGCATGGGCAAAATGAAACAAAAGGGATTCGCAGGAGGCAGAGCATGTGGAAATGCTCGTCTGTTCCTTCCATGCAGTCGACAAGTTAAAGTTACTCGAATGACACAAGTGTGTCTCCATATTCCACAATTTGACTGTCCTAGTAAAATTGTGGAAGCTATTTCTCACCCTGAAGAACAACTCAAAAAGAATGTTTCGTATGGCATTCAGGTAGGAGTGCAGAATGATTCATGAATCACTCAAAATCTTTCCACCATCAGCTGGCAACTTATGCTCATAATCCAGCTTCTGCAAAGGTTCCTTATCATTCAGTGGTCACAGCATGATGTATCACATTCAGGCCCTCTTGAAAAGGCTTCTAGTTGATGTTTAAATTAAATTACTCCATTATCTTAGTACATCTTCCTATACTGTTGATAATTAATATTTCGGATCTTGGCCACGTCATGATTCATGCCACGATCCACCTTTGGCATTAGCACAAACATGGGCACAAACATGAGACCAAGACGTCACATCGGATATACCCCTGCAGATTCAACACAATGGACCTCCGATCGACCAAGAGATGCGCCTTTGAATGCTGCACGACCCGTACATCGACCTACGGATCAAACCGTGCTGACTCCTCGGCCACCGCATAGAAAAAGAAAATCATAAACTCAAATGTTATCAGATGTAAAACCATAGAATTAATTTCTACATGGCTAAAGGTGATGATGGCAAATGGTAACTAAATCACACTACTGCGACTGACGCTGAGCTGATACTAACCACTGCATGCAACACTTTCTGCCATTCAAGACATCAATGCTTGTCTTGCCCTATTTTTCCAGAGTTCTGATACCAAATAATGAAACATCTCCTCTGCAGATAGTCTGCAATTCACCATCTGCTACTCTAGTTCTCTGAAATTTCTTTTTCTTTAATTTTTTTTATATATATCTTCCATATCCATAGGTGAAGAGTGTTTGTTCAACCTCTCTCTGCAGTTAACTCTTGAGAATTTTGAATTGTATCCCATCAAATTGGCATGTATCTATCTCTATGGAACTATCTTAATCCTCCAGTATTTAATCGTTTACTAGGGTGATCCTTTAGTAACAGCAAGACAGAATAGGACAGTATGTCATCTGTAACAGGAGAAAGGAAAAGATGTGAAATGTGCTCCTGTACCTGTGAATGGGACTTATTTATGATGCAGACAAGTCATATTTTCTTCTCATCTTCTTGTTGGACACAATAAATCCAGATCCATCATCCTTTCTGGTGATGATATTTTTGATATCTTTTTGATAGAAACTGTGCATTCGAGGTGGATAAAACTCTGACGAAGTTATATTGCTTCTTTTCATTGTTTACCTCCCAGTAAAAATAGCACTTGTTGTTATGTGTCTTCGAGAAGCTTAAGCCATACCGAAAAAAGATTGATAACTTTCAATATGAGATTGCCACTTCTTGACAGGATAAAACAGAGAGCAGTCGGATTACTATGATCTCTTCGGGACCATCTTTTGTACCTACGTACAAAAACTAGGGGCAAGAGTAACATGGCGCTCGTGCAATACACGACTGTGTGGTCGCCATCATCACAGTTACCTGACGCATTTCCAATTCATCGTTCTCCTGTTAACTGCATTCCATCGGTGACTGATTCTGTATCTCCCTCTTCCTGTTATCTCCATCTTTGTTGCTTACTGGCCTCCAGTGCATCAACCTTTCTTTCGGATGAACACAATACGTCCACAGGTGCACCACTTAGCACCCTCCTTGTTCATAGAATTTTGATGGAAAAAGTAGATCGTAGCTCTTACTTTTGGTTTCTGTAGTCAGATATGTATGCAAATTCTTACAGCAAAATCTTTTGTTCGATTAAAATCTTGGTTTTGCAACAGCTTTTAAAAGTTTATGTAGATGATAAAATGATGACAACCATGCTAATGCTCAGAAAACAGATGCTTGGCTCTGATTCAGAAGGTGAATTTTTCTGCAAACACTTTTACTCATGATCAAGGGAGTAGGGATGCAAGTTAGTAGAGTTCTGCAACAGATCTTGAATTCATAACTAGTCGCTCTTGATGTTGATTGAATGGACATCAGACTAGGAAAGGACAGCTTAACTGGAAAGAAAGATCTTCTTTCTATCTTGTGTGTTCTTCTAATAAAGGGAAACAACATTAGCTAGCATGCGGTAGTCATTACAGCAACGAGTCACTTTCTTGGCCAATGTACAGCATTGAAACACCCATAAGTCGTATCACTATGGCACAGATTTGATAGTGATTGAAGTTAAAGCCACTTTATCTCTTTAACATGCTTGCAAACTGAGTTACCAAAAAGATGCGGCTCAGAGAAGAGAAAGAAGGCTTGCAGATCGACCACCATCCGTTGGACAACAGGCATCAATAATTGGGAAGTTTACTCGGCAGCTCCAGAAATAGCAGATCCTGATTTCTCTTGTATAGTATCACCCTTTTTTATTTATTTTGCATCAACTGGTTTAATTACTGGACTAGAATTGGTCCTATTACATATTTTTGGCAGATGGTCCACTTCTAGCTGGCTAACAGCAGCACTCTATTTCTCTGCTTCATTCTGTCTGTGGGCAATCAATCATTCCTGATACCATTTCTTGTCTGATGCTACAGGAGGAAGATCATGAACTTATAAACCAAAGAATGACTGTACTAGAGGTTTTGGCAGATGGTCCACTTCTAGCTGGCCAGCCGCAGCTGTACTCTAATTCTCTGCTTCCTTCCTTGTCCCTTCAAGATTGATCCACCAGTTCTTGTTTGATCTACTAATCAAGGAAAGAATGATTGTACTGCTTATATGATTTTGTATCAGAAGTGTGTTGGCACTGGGGATAAAGAAGAGCTTGAGGATGGTGCAAGCCAGGTGAGGGGGGAGGAGTTTCAAGTGTTCCTCATCTGGCATAAAGCATGGCAGATTAGTCTGGCTACTAAAGAGCATTCTAGGGTGATATATATATATATATATATATCAAGGAAGACAGTGGGGGAAGACACCACATGGCTTCTGCAATGACCATGATGACACCAATGGCGCCATGGCAGTACTGCCCTGTACGGTTCACCCTACCTTTCCTAAACGAATGAAGCTGTCTCAATCTAATTCCTGACTCCCGTGCAGAACTTGCTCTTACGAAGCTTGTAGAGGAAGAGGTCTTAGTTTTATATTGGGAATTGAATTAAATGTCCGACTGCCCCTTGGAACTTGGAAAACGCCTCGGCCTAGCAACAGATTGATGAAGTCATAGCACCTGGTCAAAGGCAGAGAGATCCGTGGAATGGAAGAAAGGTATAGAAAAGCATGACCACTACCCGATGCGTGTGATGGTGCTCGAGAGATGTCCCTTCCGGTAAGTCGACAGCCACTCTTTATCAAAGAGGCTTTTGACCATTGTTCCATCATTGTAGGTTCATTGTCAGAACGAAGTTGTAAGCTCAAACGCAATTCTTTCCAGCTTCTGCTCTCTCTCTCTCTCTCTCTTTAATGTGCGTCGAAAGAGCAGGAATCTCGAACATGGTGTTTGTGGAGTGAATTATTGGCTGAGCAATTCAGCAGGGATACAAAACCTTCACTGGACTGCAGTGACAGGAGAATCCACCCTCGGTCATGGGGTAACAGAGGCGAGGTTACAGGAAAAGGAGAGGAGGTCATTCTTTGCTTGTGGCTTTACAGTAAAGGGAGGGGCCATGGCTGTCGATGGCGAGGTCAGCAGAGGCACGGGGCTGCACGGCCCCGCATGTCCTTCCTCATGGCCACAACTACCCAACACCCCTCTTCCCCGTCCTCTGTGTCCTTGCCCTTCTCACCCCCACCTCTCCACATGCCCCTGTCCGTCCCTCTCACCTCGCACACCCCGCCTTGCTACTGGCATAAATAGCACCCCTCCACCACCGCCTCTCTCCCCACAACTCAGTCGCACTTCCTCTCCTTCTTCTTCTTCTTCTGATCATCTCTTGAAACGGAAAGGAAAGGAGCAAAAGAATGGCAGTGAAGAAGCAGAACAAGCTGGCTCAGACAGCGGTGCTGAAGCAAATACTGAAGCGGTGCTCGAGCTTGGGGAGGGAGGAGAAGGAGGAAGGGCCGCCGGTGGACGTGCCCAGGGGCCACTTCGTGGTGTACGTCGGCAAGAACCGGAGCCGGTACATCGTGCCCATCTCCTACCTGGACCACCCCGAGTTCCAGAGCCTCCTCCGCCAGTCCGAGGAGGAGTTCGGCTTCAAGCACCACATGGGCCTCACCATCCCCTGCGACGAGGTGGCCTTCCGCTCCCTCACCTCCTCGCTCAGATGAAACCCGTCTCTCATGCTTCTTTCTTCTTTGTTTCGACTGGACGTCAAATCCATCGGTGTGTGTATATTACCTACCTCTAATTGTAAGTCATATAATTTATTGAGGAGGAAACTGCTCCTCCGTTGACATAACATTTCATGGATCCTCCAACTACTGCTGATCGACTTTCCGTGGGATCGAAGATCAAAACCTAACGCTTGCAGGCGAAGAGAAGTAATAAATAGATCATCGAAACAAAAATTAATATGGACTTGGGTGACATAAAAGATGATGATCTATCTGTTCATTGCTTCGGTTAATTAAGAATTTTTCATTATTAAAACAAAAGAATACATTTGAGAATTATAAGAACACATTTGAGGAGATTAAGCTCACCAAGAACAAAAAGAATACTGCATACACGTCGGTTTCTAATTCTTAAGTTGATTTATTTGTTGGTCATTCATTACATAAGTACACGATGAGGTAAGCACATGAACAAAAATCCCATTGCCCATATGAGAGAGATTCTTGGAAGTGCATCTTCAAGTACAGAGCAATGGGCTGTAGGCACCCAACTCAACTCATTAGCGTTGCACCACTATAATTCTATTTAGTTACTATTTTCAAGTGAATTTTATATTTAATAAATTATTATATATTTATTTATTTTACGAAGAGTAAACGACTAAGATGGAATACTTACTTTACTCTTATGCGGAAGTCAATGTGATGACAAAAATATCCTTAATCTCAGGCTTCAATCTATAAAATAAATACAGAAGAGATGGCAACTTGGAATAATAAATATAGACAAAAGATAAATAGATGATTTAATAGGAAAATCTTATCATCAATGTCAAAATGTTTATGATTAAACTAATTGACATATTCCACCTAAATAAGTTGATCGGTGGTGTACCATGGACATGCATCCGTACACCCTCATGATCCCATGATAGTATTTTCATGAGCATCATTCGGCAATATGTTCACGTCAAGTCGATAATATTTTCATGCATCCGGACATGCACATGACATGCCTCCTGATGAGCCCCTTTCAAGCCACTGTCTTCACTATTTAGACTCTAAAACCTATCCACTTAAGCTTCTACATGATCTCTCACATGGTATATATATAAATGAATATACGAATACATACATATCCTCAGTTAATTCAAGTTTTATTTAATTAATCAAAACAATTTTAATTTTTTTCCTTTTTAAAATTATTGAAATATTTTCATCCAATCTGCCAGCTTTGATGCATTAGGGTGTCAAATAAAATAAAATAATGATCTCCCATGTCTATTATATCCTAAACTTGTCCTCTCATCATCACAGCTCCGTCGTTATACGTCACAGGGATGAGACACAGCAAACCTCAGATCACTGCACTTTTGTGCTGGAGGAGATGAATGATTCCCCCCGGTGGCTCATCTTCTGTTTCTATCAACAGTGAGTTAGTGGCTTCAGTCACTTTCCTCGCACTGAACCATGCGTTTGTGGATCAAACCTCCCTCCATATGATCACTTCTTTCCGAGGTCCATTCATGTGATGAGATAGATATATCTGCAGCTGGGCCTTTGTTCGAGACAACAATAATAATTCTGATTAGAACGAGCCACCAACTTGAGCAATCAAAGCACTGGAATTAAGAAGGAAAAAAACGGCTGAATATGTTTTGGTCAAAGGCAAAATATATATGTCGATCGAAGGAAAGAACTATAACACGTCTTCAATCATTCACAAAATCTTGTTGTTATTGTTATTACGAAGGTACATAATCCAAACCGAAAGAGCAAAGGACTCGGGAATCAGAACGCCAAGACAAAAGTCCCAGGTTTGTCTGAGCTACCCACAGGTGAATGAATGGTACCAAAGCCCTGCAAGTAACAGTACGTACAGGAAGATGCGAGAACGTAATCATTCACAAGGTGCATGCGTAATCGATGCGAAGGACGATGAGAGGAACGTAATCCTTGTGAACGTAATCATTCACAGGGAAGATGAGAGGAACTGTGCACGGTGTTGGGTTGTGCTTGCTGTATACTGTCCTTTGCTCAACCGCCGCTGGTATATCGTCCCGGACATGCACATGACATGTTCCTCCGAAGACCCTTTCGTTCGAGTGGCCCAATCATATGTTCATCGCTTCGCCTCCCCTCTCCTCTTTCTCTCCCGCTCCAGAATGCGTGCATCTCAGAGTCGGTAATTTTCAACCAAAAATAAAAAATAAAATACGCTAATTAAAAGGTCTCTAAGATGGTTACGATAACATATTGGATGTAAAACAACAGCACACAATCATTCACACGAGAACATTCCCATCAGATTGTGTGTACTTCATCGGCTTGCGTGGTAAAGCCAAAGAGTTGGCGCACGGTATCCAATACAAAATATCATGTCTGCCGGCATTCCTTCCTTCCGTAGATGGTCCCGTGTGGACTACATAATATCGATGTCGACGCGTATAATCCGAACAATTTAGGATTTTGGGTGCGAGGGAAATGTTGTATTCATCTGTCTCGCTTGTGGAAGAAATGGCACGATAATAATCGAGGAGAGACGGGTATGCCAAGTCAATTCGAGTCACAGGACGCCGATTTGAGAGTGCCGCTGCTGCTACTCGATTCGTTTGATCTCATGGTCCCACACTTAGCTGGCGGCGAGCCCCGATGAATCTTATCGATGAGAGCCCGAGGACCAATCAGTGGCCGCCTCCAGCAGCAGCGCAGACGGAGCTCGCGAGTCCGAACCGTGTGGGGACGGGCAACACCACTGCACTCGGAACATCAGTACTACTTTTAATAGATTGTTACTGATTCCGACGATTTTGGTTATATAAAGTTTGAAATCGAAACTAAATACCCATATGATGATTATTAGTGGTCGATTTGAGCTATTTAAAGAATTCTTCGATAGTAAATTAACTTATATTCTTCGAGAGTAGCGTACAAACGATTGAAACTTATAGTTTGAGCTTATAAGTTGAAGGATTCAATTTCCTTTAGTATAGACAAAAATATATTAAACCACGGTGAGAAAAAATGATCACGACAAATAATGTGAGATACCAGTTTGATACATTTCCTTAATATTTAATGAGTTACCACTTGATAATGTGATGTTGCATCCAACTGTCTCTGGCTGGATTCCTTCCTCCGACAAAAAAAGAGAAAGTGCAAAGTTACATAAAGCAAGAAACAAAGGGAAATGATTTCTATCCCAAAAGTTCATAACCATGGATGGCAGGCGCATGATATTGGATATTGGCTATGCAATTTTGGAGTAACAAGAAGTTGTCCTTAGGAAAATACGTGTACGTATAGCAGCAATAATGGAGTCTTCTATGAATCTGAGACGATCATGAACCCAATCCAAGCAATAATTTTCGATTTAGGAGATCACACCCTCGTGGTAGGTACAATATGGTAACCATACGAGTTGTCTTTGCCAAGATCGACCCCACCAGATGGCGGGCCTTCAAATGTTTGGGAGTCCCATCAACATGTACAAATAAGATCTATTTCTGAAGGTGTTATAGAGAGGATGTCCTCCCTCAACCCTCCATCCACACAACTGTCTATGCATGTCTCTTCCAACATCGGCATCAGAGTGTGAGGCCTGCCGTCGAGATTAGCAAATCATGAGCATGTATATTAATTATTTTTACCAAGATGAAATTATATCATAGTTTACAAAGCTCGATGAATTGATTAATGATGAATAAATCCATTATGGTTGTTAAGAGAATTTCTAAAAGATATATTTGGTATTTATTATCAGTAACTTTGGAGATTATGGATATGAATATATTAATGATACGTACAAGCATCCTACCGTCTTTGCATGTGAGATTGGGGTGAGAAGGACGTACGCCCGAATCAAACGCAAGCCATGTGATGTGAGCCCACCCCACCATCAATCCTTAATATGATACGACTTTAATCGGAAAGCAGGAACAGCGAAAGCAGCACATCCATAAAGAGGGAGGGGAAGACGAAAAAGGAAGAGTTGTCGCTGTTGAATGCCAAGGTGACGATTAATTAATCACAATACTATTTACATGACACAGAGAGAGAGAGAGAGAGAGAACGAAGAATGAAGAATGCTGCAATCCTTCTGATGAGTTGTGTGAGAAGAAAAGAAAAAGGAAGAAAAGACTCGGCCTTGTTGTCGATGGATGCTCTGCATGCATGCAGTGCGTGATCCGATTCGGGATGACTCGGCTGAGCCGCTTCGTCGCCATCTCTCCTTTTGATCATTGCAATGATCTCACTCGTATTACACACAAAAATGGCGTAGAATGATGCAACCGACAACAATGAATTGAGTTTTATTTCTCGTTCAGGGAGATGGGAAGCTTTCCACCTCCTCCTCCTCCTCCTGCACACTGCACACTGCACGCTGTGCAGTCGGTCACCAGACGGGCTTCTCGGCGAGGCGGTGGTGGCCGTGGAGAAGCGGCAGCGAATCGGGAGCGTGCAGCCACCGTCCGACGTCGCAGCAACAGGAGGAGGAGGACGAAGGGATGTTGTGGGAGAGGTTTATGAGGTCGTCCAGAGTGTAGTTGGCGAACCTCGCGGGAGAGGAAGAGATGAGGCGGAGGACGTCCTCGAAGAGGGACTCGTCGCAGGGTAGGGAGACGGGGCCGGGGCTGGAAGGAAAGCCGTACTCCTCCTCGGCCTGGCGGAGCAGCTGTCGGAAGACAGGGTGGTTGAGGTGCGACGCCCGCACCACGAACCGCCGGGAGCTGCTCCCCACGCACACCGCCACGTGCCCCGCCGGCACGTCCGGTGCCGCCCCGGCCCCCCCGCCCCTCCTCAACGACGACAGCGCCGCCGCCCTCAGCCTCCACCGCCGCAGCATCTGCCGCAGCCGAACTATGTGCCGGATCTTGCTGCATTTCCCCATTCCTCCTCCTCCTACACCTCCCATCTCTCTCTGCTTCTTGCTTTCCCTTCTTCTTCTGCGCTCTTCTCTCTCTCACGCTTTGCAGGTGATGCGAGAAGCGAGGGAGGGAGAGAAGCAAGTGGGGAAGACCCGGGGGGGCTTTATAAGCGGAACGACAAAAGATTGCCCTTAGACTTTGTACTATTCTCATCATGCAACAGCGAGGAAGGATAAAGAAAGCGTCTCGTAAATGATAGAAGCAGACAGGGAGAGCAAGATAAGCCGTCATTGACTCTCCATAAATTACCCAGTAACATGTGACAGAAGTCAACATTGTCCCTTTGACTCTGTGATCGGCACTTACTATTATCTTCTCTCCATCAAATTCTTTTCTAGTCAAATTTTTAATAAAAAAACTCAAGATTATAATGGTGAAAAGTAATAAAAAATTAATCTTTAGAGGTCACAAATCCAAAACCACGGGGACCAAAAGGAGAAGGTGAATAGTATTGAATCATACAGTTACAGTGGAACACAAGACACTCTTCCAAGAACACTAGCTTGCATGTTAATCCCACCATGGTGTACAGTTGATGGTAGATATGAGACGGATAGGGTGGGGCGCGTGGTGTCAGGATAAGCCTCATACAAATCAGAGGGGACGAGTACAGAATCCACACATGCAACAAAAGGCGTACGCAGGATGCGTGTTGTGTTCTTGTGCATGTAAAAGACGGAGGAGACGCGGCATGTGCAGCTCTCAGGTACGCGCGCCATGGAGATGGAGAAACGCAGGTAGGTGGAGCAGCGAAGAGGCTCTCGCTCCGCCGGCGGGACCAATAGATATAAACAATTAGTCCTTCTCCTCCATTCGATTCCCCACCCATGTGGCTGTGCATCATCCCCACTACTCTCTCTTCCCTTCTTCTTCTTCTTATTCTTTTTTTGTTGCGATTCCCGCCGAAGTATCATCATGACGCGTTCAGATCAAGAATGCATCAAAGTATACGAACGAGATGGCCACTGAACCCCATGACGTATCTTCGTTGGAGGTGAGACATATGTTCTGAGCGAGAGCAACTCCCATTCTCTTCCCAAGAACAAAAAGAGACAGTGATGGGCTTCTCTCTCTCTCTCTCTGAACTCATTCTCCCTTCCCAAAAAACAACAGTGACAGAGTTCCTCTGACTGCAGTGGAAGAAAAGAAATCACTACGGGAAAAGTAACCCGAGACAGGAAAAAAGATACATGCCACATGTGACATGGACCGGCCGAAAGAACAAGATGCTGTCAGCAGTGAAAATCTTTAGTATCGGATAAAGTTTGATACTCGATCACCAAATTAGAGCTTTAGGTACAGACAGATACACCAAAGAAAATAGTTACAAACAATCAAATAAATCAACTTCACCAAATCAACATCAGTGAATTCATCTGATTTTTACATGTTCACTGTATTAATATTCATCCTGGAATCTGTAATAATCCCCCCAGTGCATAATAGGCATATAAAAATGGGACAAACGGGTGCCAGGAGTGGCTGCTCCCGCAACAGAAACCTTCACTGCTGCTAAAAGCAATTTCATGTGAGGAACTGTGAGTCCAGTAGAACAAGCAGCACTTGGTTTTGGAGCTGCCCCCTGATTCATGAAAGCCGGGAAACCTGATTCCATGGAGTCAAAAGGTCTTGGAGAAGCTGTTATTACTTGTGTTGTGTGGTAGTCAGGAGCTACAAGCCTACAGCACATGCAAGCTGCTGCTGTCACTGATTCAAAGCCACACTAGTTGCTGCCGACTCCCACACGGCTGGGCGAAGCCCCTCTCATCAATGACAACTTTCTCCAACTTTTAACTTATCTTCATCGAGGTATCAGCAGCTTGACGAACGCTGCAACCGGAGGAAGGAAGACAAGACAACGAGGTGCTTGGGTTCCCCAGAGACACTGCAGTGACTTAATCCCTCCATGTGGTTTGGTTATTCTGCCCACCAAGCCATGGATTCATCAGCTCATCTGATAAAATAATCAGTGGATAAGTGCCTACCGTTCAAGCCATAGCATACTGCTCCGGAGACAGTAAGAAGAAAAAGAACACCAGCAAGAAATGAATCAGAAGTCTTACAGTTTCACCAACTCAATTGGCTCCGTGACCACAAAAAGTGTTTGATGATAGCCTGCGTCTACATTATGCTGAAACCAAACAAAGATTCTTGAGCTGTCCTTTGTACAAACAGGAGGAGAAACAGCGGTGTCAGATTTGACGTAGCGATTGGAGCAAGAAGAGGTTTGGGTTTTGGAGCTGTAATCATTACCAAGAAATCATTAAGCCAGCATGAGTGAACTAAATCTTTATCCTTTGGAATGGAAGGGATACTTTCTATTGTTTAATATACATGTATATAACAACCACTTCCCAACCATTACAATACAAAGTACGTACTATGTGGCCGGACATGGAAGCTTGTCTGCTCGCGAGAATGGCGAGAAGCGAGCACGTTAGGGAGGCGCATTACACGGAGAAAGGTTTGTCCCGGCTACTGGACCATCCTCCCCCCCAACTTGCTCCATAAACAACTCCCACATGCAAAAGGGAATCAATGATCCACCGACCCATGGCTTTTTTAATCTAAATATATAGAGCAGTAGGAACTGCGTTCATGGGGGTCGATCACACCAAAATCCATCCATGGTTCGTTCTTCCCGGCCCTCTCTCTTTCTTCGACCTACCGGCAGCTCCTACATCTCCACCACCTAGTGATTCGGCAATCATAAGAGCATGATTGGGGTTTGATTGCATGATTGAAGGCTATTTTAGTGCTATCTTAGATTGCTACACACTGTTTGATCATGAACAAATGTCGGATTGGTCCTCCTAATTCGGATAAGAGATTTGAAGTCTGGAGTAGCCGATCTATTTTCTATAGGAGGATACGCTAATAATGAGCTAATGATGAGCTTAATGCAGGAAACCCTGCTCTCAATGCAGGCCAGTTTCACACTGGCGGACAACTGAGCTCTTCCCCCTTGGGTGTACCGAGGCGTGGCATGCAACGCAAGTGATCGTGCTTGAGCCGGAGCTGGGCCAAGCAGCCCAGCATTTTGGGCCTGAGTTGACCATGGAATTAGGTTGTCCAAATTTCTATCCATCATACACCATCCATTTCCCCCAACCTATGACTTCAAATAAGGAATTATAAGATGAAGCTAAAAAAAACTATGAAGATTGAAGCACCTCCTCTGGCTTATAAGAAAATTTTCCTCCTTTGAGCCGATACCTGAAAACTATCTAATCATGTGTCTCTCAGGTAGTAATTTAACAGCCCCAAGTATGGTCAAATAACTAGGAGGTGAATTCTATAGGGATCCTTCAGGTAACTACACATTGTACTGTTATCATAACACAGAGCTGTTATAAGGACAAGTATCAAAGGGCTCCCTCCATCTTATACGATCTTCATATTACTGGTTTAGACCTAATATGAGATTCGGATGACCCAAATGGACAAACAAAATCTATTTTGCCAACCATACTAGTATGTATAACCACTATATCAGAAGTACAACCTAGGCAATAGCAGTATATTGCATCTGCTTTTATAATAAGATGAAGAACAAGAGCTCAATTGCCAAACCGACATACAAGATAAACAATGACTGAAGGATCAGGTCTAGGAAAGTTTACATCTAAACTAAAAGATTTTCCAGTACTCGTGATTGACAAGGTCACAAGGGCTCCATGAAAAACCCTATTCCAATATTGTACCAGCACAGCGCAACAGCCTGCATGAACTGAAACTCGAATCCAGGATTCAAGAGGCTTTTGAGACGGTTCAAAGATCTCCAAAAGACTGCAAAGAACCATGCTTGGATCTAGCTTATACCACACTTGATCTCTTCAGTTTGTCATTAATTAGTTTCAGACTCATATGTGGCTGTGATATCATAGTATACGACTGCCAGCAATAACTTACTAGATTCCAAACGATAAGATTGTTTGTGTTGAGCTACAGATGCTCATGATGATGATTTCTCAAGAAATCATCATCGTCCAATATCAGACACTCCAGTAATTATTTGGCAAATATATAACTTCAATGAAGCATTAACACAATTATAGGTACGTGATACAAATACGGGATGCATTTCTAAGAACTCTCCATCTTTCAAAGGTGAGAGTGAAAAGCAATACAAATATTGTATTTCTGTGAAGTCTCCATGTTTAAAAGGTGAAAGAGCAAAGATTGTACTGGGAATGAAATAATTCATGCCAACTTATAGAAACTATCTTTACCAATGAAACTAAATAAGTAAAATTAGAAACTTTAAGTATGACATGTTCAGTAATTTTTTATTTTTATGAATTTTGCTTGAATGCAGTAAATGTACCTTAGTATCCTTCCTCAACACTAATTTACATAGTTTGCAATGCATCGCAGGTCCATCAGGCAGGTTTGTTATCAGCAGAGCATCTATGAAAACAAGAATTTAAAAGCACTATTATAGATGTAAGGAAAAATACAAAGGCCCAACCAAGCATTGACCAGACAACTTATTACCACCTTTATACTGTGTCAAACCTGGTTCCCTTCCATTCGCATGGACCACCTTGATTGAAGTGATTTTTTTGTTCTTTTGCATGCTCAATAATCTGCTCCAAGAGAAAGGCTCATCACAACAAAGACCCGAACCACATAAGACTCCAGAATTTTGGATTGTTCAAATGTGCTACCTTTTTGAGTTCATAGGTTAGTTCCTCTCTTATGATAATGAGCATTTGGAATCACTCACAACGGCTGTCGAATGAAGGCAGGACCTCTCTACAACACTGGCCTTATTTCCTTGCAGATATGGACTTCATTATTACTAAGAATGATTCCAAAAGGGTAAAGAGCGGCAAGAACACAAAAACATACTGTGGCATCGAAACGATGATCAATATCTTTGGCGTCACAGGACTTTGCTAAATTCATCTGCATCATTCCCTGCAAATGACTGCAATAATGCAAGATAAAGTTACTGCCAAATCATAGAATATTCAGTTACCACATCAAGCTATTCAAAGGAACATGGCTACCTTTTCATACTCTGGTCGTCAGACCATCTCATCGACCTCCCTGGTGT